GACAGATAGACAAACAGGTTTCGAAGATAGTACACCTAATACAAGTAATATTGCTCCACTTAGGGTAATAATATAACAGAGACTTTGAACCAACCCCAAAGCCTCTTCTTAAAGGGGGAGGTGTTATATCCCTGATATGTAAGGGTTTATGCTGGGATGACATAAAACTGTATCATCATCATTATTATATCTTAGCGTGTAAGGTGGCATGCCAGACCCCTCAGTCTGGACAAGATCTCCGAACGGTACGGTTGTATACTCAGTCCTTTAACTAATTAAAATAGTTCTAATATAAAATTAGTTTTTTTTTTAAAAAGAAATCCTAAAGGACTCTCGTAACAGTCCGAAGGCTATAAAAACACCACGCTACGATAAATAGGATCTGAACAACCAGTTCATCATATTGTACAGACGGCGACGATAACTAATTCCGCGCGGTTTTGATGACTACTCGATATTATCTTTTATCGGTTTCAGCTTCATCAGTAAATTTGACACAAAAATAATTTTTCATTTGTGAACAATAATTCTGTTCTAGCACGTTCAACCAAACATTATTGCATTGAATAGGCTCTTAAAGTGCAGGACTGATTTGAAAACTTGTTTCAACTATTAGAAAGTTTCTTATTCAGGGACTACATTGGCTATTTGAGCCCGTTCATTATATGGGATCGGGACTACTCGAGAGAAATCATTTAAAAGATTGTGTTTAAAAATATCAACGAATGTAATAAGTCCAGTCATGCAATCTCTATTTGTTAAATAAATAAAAACCGTTTAATTTATATAAAACTCCATACTTCATGGGTCAATTTAGTCGCGGAGAACCTAACGGGTTACCAGGGTTCCGGCTCGAAGTCGCAGGAGAAGGAACGGGGTGGTTTTTAGTCAGTAAGAGTCTGACACTCCCTCCCGCCTCACCCAGGCGGGAGCAGTCATTCGATGATTTTCCCCCTAAAAAAAGAATGGGTAAATTTGGACTATAATCTACTTCGGTATCAAATTGCATTTAGTAATATAAGAGTGGTAAACACATACATCAAAACTCATAAAGCAGAAACTCTTGCATTTATTATGACTGCCTCGCTGGCCAAGTGGTCGGAAGTGCAACTGCCGCGCAAGGGGTCTTGGGTTCGATACCCGGGTCGGGCAAAGTATTACTGGGGTTTTAACGAATCCCAGTAGTAACATGGATTCTACATATTACATCGATGGATAGGATCACCCCATGGGACATGGGACTCATATCATAAATAGTGAAAAGTGGGTGTTACATTGTACACCTCTGCCTACCCCTTCAGGAAGAAAAGGCGTGACGTTATGTTTATTAGTATAAAAGAAATCACACAGGCGCAGCCGCTGTCTGAAAGCTAGTTAATAATAATAATCGGGAAAGCCCGATTACATATATTCGATTAACCTTTTGACCACAAAGACAAAGAAGATATTGCGATTAAATTCTGAATTATTATTTTCCTTAAAATATGTTAATGTAGAATATCTGAAGAAAACTTTCATGATAATTAAAAAAACCTTGGAGTAGATTGGTTTTGGATTGACCGCACGCGTGGTGGGGTGACTGGGCAACCGGCTGCCGTGCAGCGTACTGCGTGTTCGATTCCCGCACGGAACAACACGTTATGTGATCCATAGAGCCACAAATTGTTGTTTTGGATCTGGGTGTCAGGTGTATGTGCATTTGTATGTTTGTAAACGCACACACGATACAGGAGAAAATCCAAGTGTGGAGCAACGTTATTTGAAAAAAATTGCCTTAGCGATTGTCTACCGAGAGAGTAAAAAACTCAATGCATGGGGTCCCCCCTCAGATTGACGTAAATGTTTACATATTTTGCTGTCCCCACTAAAATAGATAAATATAAACGTCAATCTTATATAATTTAGTTTAACTTGGTGACATTCGGAGACCGGCTTTTCAAACGGTAAACGAGAAGACGGATAACCTGATGGTAAGCAATTAGCGTCGCCCATGAGCACCTGGAACACCAGAGGCGTTCCAGACCTTTGCGCTAAGTGCGTTACCATTTGTGGATTAGGAATTTGAGAATTGTTGGGGATTCACGGATTAGGGAGATCAGGGAGGGGGGGGGAGAGTAAATTAGGCCTCCGGTATCCTCAATCACACGACGAAACGCAATGCAAGCGTTGTTTCACGTGAGGCCGTGGTATCATTCCGGTGGAGCCAGCCCATTCGAAGCATGGCTCATTTAAGGCCTTGACTGCCAATAAAACTGTTGAAGGCAAATCTTGCGCTAACGTCGGTCACCTGTGACCGACGTTAGACCGACTTGGTCAATAAAACTATGAAAATTAGAAACTAAATAATATGAAACATACGATGTTACCTTTTTAGGCTACCTGATCGCGATACATCGTAGTTATATAGTACCCATAACTTAAATTTTTTAAACTTTCAGTCATTTCTCATTTACTCGTTGAGTACCGTCATTATAGACACAATTATAGAACAATAGGTTGCGGTTTTATTCTGTAATCAGTACATAATGTTTTGTGTTTACATTGTACAAAATACATTTATTTTCCGAAACGTTATTTTGTTCTTACTAACGAATAGCGCCATCTCTTGATAGACTTTCCAAATTAAACAACTCAACGATGCTAGAATGCTAGATGTAGATATAATATTTATAAATATTGGTTCATTTTTCCAAAATTAATATCATTTATGTATTTATATTTAGGAGTATATATTTAGGAGGCGTACGAAGGACCGAAGCCAACTGCGCATAGGCCCTTTAGACAACTTTAATTCAAACGTAATGGACACACAATATTATTTTATATTTTTAATGGCACATGACATTTATTTGCTTAAACTGTCAAACACCAAGCGGTTACCGGTGACCGCAACCTATTGTTCTATAATTGTGTCTATAAAGACGGTACTCGACGAGTTAATAGCCTATAGCCATCCTCGATCAATTGGTAATTCAACACAAATAGAATTACTTAATTTAACTCGTCGAGTACCGTCATTATAGACATAATTATAGAACAATAGGTTGCGGTCACCGGTGACCGCTTGGTGTTTGACAGTTTAAACCAGTAGTTCTAAACAAACACTTCAACTTTGTGATATTAGTATAAATATGGCCTATGACCGAATCATTAAATTGTGCATAAATAAATTATAAAATAAGCTGTAGGTACGACAGCACTTAAGCGAAAACTATAAACAGATATAATTTTATCATTGTCATCTACGCGATTTCGTAGCAAGTATTGCTACGGCGTAGCACCGTAGCACGTTCGTAGGTGCGATGACTTTGTTGTATTTCTGCTTATCAAAAACTTGATGGGCTTTCAAAAATAACTCTAAAACTTAGGTGTGCCAATCAATTTAGAATTTATAGTTTACCCGCTTTTATTGGGTCGACTTGTTACGAAGTATGTATGTAAGAAAAACTAAGAATCAGAATTATAATACTTCTAATTGTTGTATCATCATAAAACTTAACAATCACATCTAGGTGGCCATGCAATATTATGGGTCATTCGTTCATTTCTTCTGATGACGATGCCATATGTTTAAATGTACTATTTTTTGTTTTTAAACTAAGTACAATTATTAATATCGTATGTTTAGAAATCCTCAAGTTTGGGAGAGCCATGCTTCTGCGTGAGTCTGCACGAGTATGTCGACCGGATTGATAACACGGCCTCACAGAAAACCGACGTGAAACAAAGCTTGCGTTGTGTTTCGTCGTGTGAGTAAGGTTACCGGAAGCCCAATTACCCACCCCTTCCCCATATTTTAACGCCTCTGGTGTTTCAGGTGTCCATGGGCGATGCATATCGAATGAAATCGGTGATTGGTTTGCTCGTTATCCGATAAAAAAAAACCTTGAAACTCCTCTGGTGTCCATAAATATTGCAACATCATTGCAACAGGTAATCGGTAGATTCTTTCATCACTTCATAAAAACTCTTACTTCCGAAGAATGTTTTTTCTTTTTATAAAAAACGATGCCCTACCCCATTGTTGTCTCCTGTGTCATGGGAATCGAACCCGCTACACGTTACGCGGCAGCCGGTTGCCTAGCCACCGCGACGGCCGCTCAGTCTTATGTCGAATATTCATAAATATGTACCTAAATGCGACGACTGTATAGTTTGTGAGGTCACGAAGAGATAAGACATACAAACGTGTATAAAAGTTCCCGTAATCTGCACATATTGTCAGTTCAACGCCAAGTTCGAGCAGCGAGAACAATCTCAGTACTAGCATCTACGAATATCGAAGCGATGAAGTTCATTGTGAGTACTATCTATAATTAATTCAACTTTTAAGTGTGGGAGAGCCATGCTTCGGCACGAATGGGCCGGCTCGACCGAAGTGATACACGGCCTCACAGAAAACCGACGTGAAGCAACGCTTGCGTTGTGTTTCGTCGTGTGAGTGAGGTTACCGGAGGCCCAATTACCTTCCCCTTCCCCAATCTCCCCAATTTTGGGGATTCAGGGTTCCCCAACGATCTTCAAACTCCTAATCCTCAAAAAGCCGGTGACGCACTTGTAACGCCTCTGGTGTTCCAGGTGTCTATGGGCGACGCCGATTGCTTACCATCAGGTGATTCGTTTACCGGCTTATGTCATAAAAAAAAACTTCTGCAAATTTGAATTTGTAGAAATTTGTTGAAAGGGTGAACCGATTTGGCTAATTTCGGTATCAATACCGAAATGCAGCCCTTTTCGAGATTAAACGAGAGTAACGTACAGTAATTCATTTTTGTATAGATTAAACAAAGGAAACGAAAAATATAGACGCACTGCTAATAACTTGACTAAAAGGGCCAGCAATTGTTGGTATTTGAATATTCATTAAAATTCTATATTTCCCATAAGTTGAAAGAATTCGGACTTTTTTCCATACACAATAGCGACCGTGTGACCAAAGAAGCAGTCGACTGAAGCAGCACTCAGCAAATATTAATGAATAAATATTTATCTTGTTCCAGGTGTCATTACTTCTGGTCGTGGCGCTCGTGGATCTAATCCATTGTGAGTATCTTTAAGTAACCTGTTACTTGCTCTCCTATATCCTATAGTCGTAGAGAAATACACAAAAAGTACTGAATATTCATAAGTACAAATCTTCTACGTATCTATTTCTTCTCTACTCATTATATAATACCTACATGTCTTACTTATACGTAATTTATTTTTCTTGGTTTTTTTTATATCAAATCCTAAGTTTCGTTTATATTTATATATTTTTTTAAGGTTAATTTATATCAAAACAAATCAATTGCAGTTTAAATAATAATAATTTTGTAAATTACAGGTACACCAACGGACCGCAAAGCTGATTATGTAATAGACAATAGCAGTTCTAAAGATCCTGAAGATAAACCTGTACCAAACTCAGTCACAGAGAAGGGGGAAGTGGCTGGGTCAGCCGCGGAAGTTGTCGATCTCGATGATTCTGTACCCGTGAAAACAAACGAAGAAGCTAAGAGTCCCGTCGCAACTACGGAACCAAACACTGAAAATACGAGCAGTCCAAAATACCATCCTAAACAACAGAATCTTCCTCAACAGTCTCAACAGGATTCCCGTCAGCAACCTAACCGTTATCCCCAACCAGACCCTCAGTTATACCCCCAACAATACCCTCAGATATACCTTCAACAAAACCCTCAGTTATACCCACAAATCCCTGATACATACTTTGTATACCCAGTAGCATATCCTCAACCATACCTCCAGCAGTATACTCCCGTTGTTGAATACTCTCGACTGAATCAAGCCCCTGGAATTCCGAGTTACTCTGTTCTAGTGCTATAAGCTGCCATAGAACAATAGAACTAAACAATAAGGCAAAAAGTTTGAATTTCTGTCGTCTTTGGTGTCTCCTATTTACTTGGTGTTTTTGTTCAATAAATGTTTGAAACTTTATATGTGTCTCTTTATTCTGATCTTTAATTTTTTTTTCGTTCGTCTGGATTAATTATACTAGTACATTCTATAAAAAAACAGTCTACTAAACTACAAATAATGTTCTTAAGATTGCTTAAGACATAACAAATGATTACCTACAATTTAACGATTTTTTTAAAAGCCTTGTTGTTTTTTGATGTCTGCAAGATTGTTGGTTAAAGACAAAGCCAAAATTATTTCTAAGAACAGTCCCGTATAAGACACTTTTGGACATTAAAAGTTAATTTAAAATAATCCACACGTGGATTATGTCACATTTTGTATAGAGTATACATAATAATTGATAGCAATTTCAACAAACAAATAACAAAAAAAAAGGCCTCGTTAACGACAATTAAACTAAAATTAAAATATAAATAACTATGAACTAAAATATTTACACCTAAAAAAGTAATAATAATGAAAATGCTATCTTAGGCTTAATCTAAAAATCTAAAAAATTAAATTTTAATTTTATTTATAACAAAATTATGTATAGTAATGTTAATGAAAACTGATTTTAATAAATTTGGCAAAAAAAATAACAAAGCAATAATCAATAATAGCATTAATATCCACATCCCTGTAGTAAAATAGATTTTGAGATTTTTCAACGACTGTGTACTATAGTAGTTTTCACAAAAAATTTACTCAGAAAGTTTACATAAAAACAAAATTATATCATTCTAATCTATGTGACTTCGTAGCAAGCATTGCTACGGCGTAGTAGCGTAGCACGCTTTCATAGACTTGTATAATTAATAATCCCGTCTGTTAGTAGTTACTCATAAATTGATATACAAAACATAATGAATCATACATATGTAGGATCAGGGTCCGATATTATTTGAAAATAAAACAAAGGGCTTCACACAATCACTTAGTTTATTTCGATTAAATGAACTTACTTTCACATTAATTTTTAATTATAATAATTGAATAATTCAGCACTGATTATATAAAGGAAACACTCAAATAAAACCAACAATAAAATTACTCAGCGATTGCGTAACGTGTGAACTGGGCAACGATCGACGAACGACTGACTCGAGCTTGCGCTTGCGCTGCTTTATATATCACTCGGTGGTGGGGTTGAAGTGACGTCGGTCAGTTGTTTGTTCACTGCTCGCCCATTACATTCGCAGTTTACAAAATAATGACGGCGGCGCCGACACATACATAAACTCACACACGTGTCTCATGAGGTAAGGCAGAGATTCCAGAGCTTCACCTGGTACTTTCCTTACCTATACAGAGTGATTTAAAGGTCAATACAAAGGTCAAAAAGGGATAATACGATTGACTATTTCAAACGTGCGTAATTTCGAGCCGGTCCATTCGTACCGAAGCATGGCTCGCCCACATTTATATATTCCCATACTTAGTTATATATGCATATAAACAAATTATGAACACAGCGAAACAATAAATTCGTTGATATAATGACAACTGTCTTTGTACATAATAATAGCTGTAACTAATAACCAACTACGGACTACTAAAAACTAAAACTAATATATAAAGCTGAGATTTCTTTATGTCTTTTAGTAACATACAAAGCTAAAGTAGTTATTTATTGATTATTTGATTATTTTCCCCGGTCGGACAAAGTACTACAGAGTATGTTTTTAAAATTCTCAGTCACTGACTCTAGCTATAGGCTCACCCCCTATTACATGGCACTCGTAACATGAATAGTAAAAAGGGTTTATACCCACTAGTGTACTCAAAAAATTAGACCGACTTCTAAATAACTGCATTCGATTCGTTTTCAACTTACGTAAATATGATCATGTTTCTGCACATAGGATGCAACTAAAGTGGCTGCCCACACGCTTGCGTAGGCAGCAGAGGGCACTAACCACTTTATTCTCTTATCTTGACTCTCCCTCTTCACCTAGATACCTTGCTTCTTAATTTCAATATACTTGCGCAAACCACACAAAATTTCTTCATTCGTCTCAATGAATCTCTCATCACACTGACTTCTTTCGTTCTTCTTTTTTCATTCAAGCTGTTCTTCTGTTGTGGAATGCGCTGCCCAAAGAGATCAGAATGGCAACAAATCGCAGTTCCTTTAAATTTAAAGTCCGCGAGCATTTATTTAACTCGTTGGGTACCGTCATTATAGACACAATCAAAGAACAATAGATTGCGGTCACCGGTGACCGCTCGGTGTTTGACAGTTTAAGCATTGGCAGTCTCAAAACAATTGAGGAAACCATTCTGACAAAGTTTTCTATAATGTATTGTAATATTTATGTAGTAGGTATTATATTCGTTTAGCAGTGTATATTATATATAGTATGTACGTCTATATAAATTTATAGTATATTATTTTAATATGTTTATTTTATATGTGTAATATACATAATTATTATTGAACAATTACTTTTTATTAATTGTGGTCTGGCTTGGCATCAACCGGTTCATTACTCTGCACTTCCCTATGGTTGACTGTCAGAGAAGGCATTAAGTCCGCCATTAACTTTTATTTTTATGAAGAAAAAATAAATATATAAATTATTGTCTGGACTAACATGAAGGCTACTTTTTATTCTACGGGAATGTGGGCGAAGCCGGGGGGAATGCTAGTACTTAATAAATGTTATTCGACACTCGCCACTGCCTGGTAGGTAAGCATAAGTTTTACGATTGTACCCTGGTGGGCGAATGACCTACACGATAACTTGACCGTAGCGTCACTAGTAATTGGTATTTCCAAGACGCAAAAATTATTTTCGCAATACAATAGTGTTATATTGTCTTATGTCACGTAGTCATATTAAGATAACTACTGGCTGGAATGTCCTACGTTCAATATATTTCACTGATATTTTCCTGTTGATAACAAAGTTGAAGAACAAAAAGAAGTTGCGAGTAATTGATGACTCCGGATCCTCGATTAACATTAGGTTTACTGGCCACGTTGCATCATTTGAAGTATGCATGCCACTTTGTAGACAATTTTCATTGTTTCTAAGCAAGATGCAAACATTTATCATCTGTAGGCCGCCTATTGATTGTGATTTTCTTGAGTTTATTATCATATCAGTCACGATATAATTTATTACATCACATAACATCACGCCTTTTATCCCCGAAGCGGTAGGCAGAGGTGCACATTATACCACTGTACAATGTAACACCCACCATGGCAACGCCTATTGCCATATACCGGCCACAATTCCAGGCTCCGTGCTACTACTGAGAATTTTTTAATTCATTATTTTTGCATAATTATGTACTAAAAGGTAGATAATAAGTTTTACAAAGACTGTCGTTGTAATATACAGCCAAAGGGAGCTTAGCATTATGAAGAAACGTTACAAAAACAGAACAGAAGAAACTTTTACAATTTTCAAAAGAAAGAAATAGTTTGATTCCTTAAAAATAGTGTTATATTAGTTATATTAGTGTCCTGTTAAGTATTTACTTGTTACATCATTCAAAATAAGCATTTATAATTAATGGTAAACGTGTATGTTAAGCCTTTGACTACCGACAGAAAACTATTAAGGGTGAATACTCCGCTATCGTGGTTTACAAGCATGGTTTGCAACCCCATGGTGTTTAACGTGTTATACAAAATTTTAGCTCAATCAGTTAAAGATATCTCCTTCAAAATGTCGTTGTGAGAGATTGAATATCTCAGAAACTAGTCACTTTCGGACTAGGGACCTGAGGGCTATTTTTGTAGGAAATTAGTTTGTATTATCACCTCTCGAGAGGAATACGTCGAGTTACAAGTCACCCTCTATGTCGCGGAGAACCTAACGGGTTACCGGGGGTCAGTAAGAGTCTGACACTCCCTCCCGCCTCACCTAGGCGGGAGCAGTCATTGGATGATTTTCCCCCCTTAAAAAAAAGTCACCTGTATATCTTATCTATCTTATAGAGGTATATTAAAATATTTTTTAAAAGAATGCTTGGGGCGTGGTCTGCAAGTGATACCAAAGCTAAAAATATGGTTTTTAGAATTTTGTCTGTTTGTCTGTATGTATGTCCGGGGTAAACTCAAATACACAGTATGGATTTACTTCCAATTTACGGGGGAGGAGCTGTAAATCAATATTCCACGCGGACGAAGTCGTGGGCACAGCTAGTATATTCATACATAATATATACATTACATAATAGAATTGAATTCACATTTGTAATTATTTGTTAATTTTCCTTAAACACATTATTTGGTCGATTCCCGTGATTCATTGAATATTGTTGCATAGAAGGTAATTGCCATAAGTAATTAATGAATCCCGTATGAATCATCAATAACAACACTTCATTTGAAATTTACCTAATTTTTTAAAGACGAACAATATAATAAGACATACCATCAATGGGAAAGGCCCCGTCAATTGTGTCGTAAGTCCCATATAATTAGGGGCGAGCCTATTACCATACATTGGGGTAAATTCTTAGCTCATATTGTATGTTTTACTAAATCGAAAAACCCAATAATACCTCTCCTGACGCAGAATTGAACTGATAATGTAACCTTCATGTATTCTGTCTCCTTCAAGTAATTCACCGAGGGAAGTGGAAACTATCTTTTTTTTCTCCTCTTATAATATCTTCTGATTATCTTCGTTGCGGGAACCAAGACAGTTACTCATGTCCATGGGACGCGCCGGACTTCAGTGTTCCGGTGTTTTCATGGTTGTATCTACTGTAGATCCTGGCTTACAGGAGTTGCAGCGGTTTTGGGAGGTTGTGGCGGGCTTATCCCAAAAAAAACCTTTATGTACGAGATAAACTTTTAGCTTGTTTAAGGGCCGATTATTCAACCATCAGTTAACATTTTTTAGTATGGAAGAATACACATTTATCCTCAAGCGGTTACCGGTGACATCTCTCCACTAACTACGTTATAGACCTTATTAATTAGTAACGGCGACCATGACCTAACTAATGATAAGCCGACTGGTCACTGTCTGGAATTCCCAAGATGATAAATCTCTATATATTTACTTTTTTA